ATACTGAAATGGTATTAGTATATTACCGAGTATGATAGTCTAGTACGCTGCTAATCTGTTATGCAGCTATGCTAAATTGACAATTGCTCATATAGTCATATTAGTCAATCACTCATGTAGACATAACTCATATCTAATTAAGTAATTTGTATTTATGTACTAATCTACTAGTCAACTATATCATTTATAAGTTTACACTATTACAAGTGTAATGCTTATAGGTACAACTAAACTGATATAAATATAACCATATAACAAATCCGTAGTACTTCTAACTCTCTAAGATACGACATCATTATTTATTAAACAATTTTCGATTTTTTATTAATCGCAACGCCTAGAAATTACACGCTAACCGATTCATATTTTATAATTTAAAGAACTTAATATTTTAATGTGTGTGTTAAAAAAAATTATAAAAGCTGATATTATGAAGGTGAATATCGTTTTATCGGGATCCGAGAAATGTAATTAGTTTTTTTTTTAAGTCATGTAATTAATTAATTGTATAAAAGTTTGTTTAATGTTATTAAAATAAAATTAAAAATTTTGATTTTTACAAAGTGGAAAATTAATTTCATTTTTTTGGTTGACAATTTCAACAAAATATGGTGGGAAATTTCCCTCCAAAAACCAAAAGGAAAAACACATTTTAGATTTAGAATTTAGATATTTTGATTCTTTAATAATTAAATAAACATGTGGTTCATATATTATGCAAAAGAGAAAAAAAAAAAAAAAAAAAAAAAGTGAAACGTGAAACTGTGAAAGACTGAAAGGCAATTAGGTTCTTCATTCATCCTCTTCATTCATCCTCTTCATTCCACAGCATTCACCGTTCTTCTTCTTCATCCTCAAATCGAAGCGTTGAATCCTCACTCACTCTCAAGTTCTCAACTCTCAAGCTCTGAACTCTTAGCCTTCAATAGCTCAAAGGTAAATTTTAGTTAATTGTTTTTGTTTTCGTTTCGTTTTTTTCGATTTTTTTTTCGATCTCTCCATTCTCGTTTTTTTTTTCATTCTCCAGTTCTCCATCTTCAAATCTTCCTCTCCTTCAAGCCGTCACTGCTCAAAGGTAATTTTATGTTAATTTTTTTATTTTCATTTCGGTTTTATGTTGCTGATTCGTTGTTTGCAAGATTTGCATGTCTTTATTTTTTGATTTTTAATTCGGATTTGTTCATATAATTTCATATAATTTCTGATTTGTTCATATAATTTCTGATTTTTTGATGTTGTTTATGTAATTTTTAATTTTATTGTTCTTGTTGTTCATTTAATTTCTGATTTTTTAATTTTATTGTTCTTGTTGTTCATTTTTTGTTATATCTATTTGTGAGGTGTTCTGGCCTTACCAGCTTTGGCTATGCTCAGTTCTGATCAGGGTTGTGGTTGTAGTACCATGAGCAACAATTGAGTTGATTTGGTTACCTTATTCATGCTCGTGGTTTCTTTTCGTGTTATTAATTGTGCTTGGTTTTTTTCAGGCTGCTGTGTTGTTGCTGGTCTGCCTTTGTGACTGTTTGCTGTTTGTTGAGCATTTAAAATGTATGGCTTTGTCTATAATGCTCTATTAGTCTTCAAATATACTGAATGCTATCCTTTGTTCTATCAGCTGCATTGTTCTCTCATTAGTGTTTCTGTTTATGTGGGTTAATGCTGAATGCTAGCAGGATTTTTTGATTTAAGTTTGGGTTTTGTTTTGTTGCAAAAGTGCAAGTGCATTCAGATAGGAGTTGTCTAATAGTGTTTAGTATATTTTAGGACTGAATTGTAGATGGACTACCTCAGCTTAGAGCATGTAGTACTAGCTAGGGTTTGTCCTGTGCTGCTGCTGTTCTAATGTCTGGCCAGATCTGCTAGATGTACAAGGCTAGATTGTAGGATCTGCTGGGTGTTTTCTGCCCTGTTCAGAGCAGAGTCTTTCTGGCCATGGTTTGTGCTATCCTAGTTGATGTCTCTGCTGCAGGCTGGGTGCTGGGGTTGGTTGCTGCTGGTTTTCTAGGGTATTGCAGCTGTGGTTTTGCTGTCGTCTTGTGTTAGCTGGGCTGTGTTGTCTGTCTGTTGCTGGGCTAGGTTGCTGGTGTGCTTTGCTTGAAGCAAGCAGGTCCGGAGCTGCTGTGTTAATTTGCCTATTTTTTTTTATTTGCCCTTAATTTGCCTTTTTTTTCACTTGATTTATACTGTTGTGTTTTTGTTTTTTCAGCAATGGAGCAAGAGTTTATTGGTTTTGATGAGGATTCTACTGTAAAGAATCAAGATTCTACTGTTCAGAATCAAGATTCTACTCAACGTACCACTAGTGGTAGTAAGCGTGGACGAACATCAGATGTTTGGAGGTATTACACCTTTTTTGATAAGATGGTTGGTCTTGCTCCGATAAAATATGCTCGATGCAATGTTTGCGGTAATGAATATAAAACTCCAGGTAATGCTGGTACTTCAACTTGTAAAGCTCATACTAAGACATGCATGAATAAAAATCCACACCATCCTGGAAATCATGAAAGTGGTGTTGAGCTCCTGTTTAATCAAACACGTCATTTACAATTGCTTGCTAGAGCTATAATTTTGCATTCCTATCCTTTAAGTATTGTGGAGCATCATGGCCTTAGGGAAGTTTTTACGAATTTGAACCCCAACGTGAATCATGTGTGTAGAAACACTATTTTGAAACATTGTATTGATGAGCATGATAAGTTTAAGTCTTTGTTGTTGCAATCTTTTTCGGGAATTGAAGGTAGAGTTAGCTTCACTTGTGACTTATGGACAGCATGTACTAATCGAGGTTATCTTACTTTAACGGCACATTATGTTGATAAAAATTGGTGTCTTAGGTCTAAAATTCTGAATTTTAGATATTGTGGTCCTCCTCATACTGGTGTTGAGGTAGAAAAATTTGTGTTAAAACTTATTGGGGAGTGGAACCTTCAGGGTAAAGCTTTTGCAATGACTGTTGATAATGCTCGATCCATGGATGTTATGGTTAACCTTTTGAAGAAAGATTTAATGTTGACTTCTCCTCTTCCTTGTAATGGTAAATTTTTTCATATTCGATGTTCAGCTCATGTCTTGAACATTATTGTTCAAAGAGGTTTAAAAGAAGTTGATAGTAGTGTTCAAAAATTGCGTGAGGTTTGTAAATATATTGATTCTTCAGATTCTAGACTCACTCAATTTGAGCATGCTCTTCATGAGGTTAACTGTGTGTTTAATGGAAAGTTACGTCTTGATGTTGTGACTCGTTGGAATGCCACATATACGATGATTCGAAAAGCTTTGGAAGCAAAGGAAGCCTTGAAATTGGTTATTGATAGGTTTATAGGTTATGAATTCAAACTTTCGAATGATGAATGGGATACCCTTACTAAAATATGTAATTTCCTAAAGCCATTTCATGAAATCACTGTGTTATTTTCTGGTTCAGAATATCCTACTGCAAATTTGTATTTTGCTAGTGTTTTAAAAATTGAGCACACAATAAGTAAAGCCCATATAGATCCTAAACACCCATGGCAAAGTTATGCTTGAAAAGTTTGAGGGCTATTGGGATGAATATAGTTTGATCCTATCAATTGCTATTGTTCTTGATCCTCGTTATAAGCTTGTTCGAGTGATGAAGATGTTAAAAGTGCTTTATGTTGATGAGGCATGTGTTGAAAAGGCGAAGGTGATTAAAGATGCTCTTTTGGAGTTGTATAACTTTTATTCTTCTTTGTCTTCCGGTTTTACATCAAGTACAAATGCTCCACCCTCCATCCCAGCTGTTATCGAAAATTCAAATAGTCACTTGGATGATGATATATTCAAGGTAATCAATTTCTGATTATTGTGGTTTACAAAATTAATAATTTTATGTTTTAATTTTATTATTTAATAAAAGCATTTTGTTTGAACTTTTCTAGTATGTTGATAATGATGATGATGAGGAGGATGACACATCAAATCGGCCATCGATGGAGATTGATTCTTATTTGTGTACTCCTCGACAACCAATTTATGAAGGGCAGAAGTACGATGTTCTTAAGTATTGGGAATCTCAAAGTAGTGTGTACCCCATATTAGCTGTTATGGCTAGGGATGTTTTGGCCATTCCTATTACATCGGTAGCCTCAGAGTCTTCTTTTAGCATGGGTGGTCGTATTTTAAACAAGTATAGGAGTGCGCTTTTGCCTAAGAATGTTGAGGCGTTGGTGACCACACAAAATTGGTTACGTGGTTATGATTGTGATATTGAAGAAGACGTCCTTGAAATTGGTAAAGAAGTGATAGATGAAAGTTTTGCATCTAATTAAGAAGACATGGATGTTGTATTGTAGTGAACTAGTGATGCTTAATATATATTGTGTTGCTTCATTGCTAAAATGTTTTAATCTCATAGAACAAGTATTAATAGTTTTAGTCACATTACATATTGATATGTTGTTCCTTTTTTTATCTTGAGTTATTGGTTATTATTTATGTCCCGCTAAATATTCATCTTGACCTGCAACCGACTCACTTCGTAAATGATCTGCATCGACCCACACTGACCCACCCAATAACCACTCCTAGTAGTAAGTAGTTTGTAAACGGTTCGATTTATAAGGATTCGGTTCATAAACAGTTCGGTTTATAAATGGTTCGGTTTATAAACGGTCCGGTTTATAAACGTTTGTAAACGGTTCGGTTTGTAAACGGTTCGGTTTGTAAACGGTTCGGTTTGTAAACGGTTCGGTTTATAACGGTTTTTATGCCAGTTTAAACGGTTTCGGGTTAGAAACGGTTCGGTTTATTTTCGGTTCGGTTTCCTTTCCAGTTCGGTTTAGATTTGGTTCGGTTCTAAAACGGTTTAACATTACTCGGATCGGTTCGGTTTCAGGTTTACTAAAATGCGGTTCGGGTCGGTTTTCGGTTTCAAAAAATTGGTTTTTAATCGGTTCGGTTCTTATTCGGATCGGTTCGGTTTCACCGGTTCGGTTCGGTTTTTGACAGTGCTAATTTTAGGGATATACTTGTATAAAACTTTTCTTAAACTTTGTGAAAGTTAGGGATATTAAAAAAAAAAAAACCTTCAACGTTTATAAATTTCCTTAATTTGTTACTCACACATTTTAGGGTTTACAAAAATCCCAAATCTTTGTGGTGCGAGAGCATGCATGAGTGAAATGAAGGTGGTTAGTTTCTCTTTTCATCTCTCTTTATTTTGGTCTTTTTATTCCTTCTTACTTTTTACTGGTTTTTTGTGGAATTATATGACTTTTGATGTTATTAATGGTAGTGCAACCTAATTTATGAGCATTTTTCTTACAAATTTGATTAAGAAAATGTACCTAATTTATGAGCCTTTTTTTTTGCTGATTTGATTAGGAAAATTGATGATTTAGGCCAATTTGCAACGTCAATTTCTAGCCGTTGGTTTTAAATTGAAACCTAAATTCTGTTGCTTAATTTATACATGGTACACAATTGTTGGACAATCGTTATTATTATTATTTTTTAATTCTTGATTGATATAATTAAGAGGGTAATTTGATATTCTAGGTATTTTATGAAATAATTTATGTCAAATTACAATGAAATATTATGAGTTGTGATACGATGGGGTTCGTTTATTAGCAGTAATTGTGTTCCAATTTCGTTTTTGAACTCAGTTAACACGATAATCGGAGGATATCGCGCTGTAACAATCAGACCGGCGCTAACCTTATTGATAATAGCTCAAATATTGTTTATGAATAGCTTTAAATCATGGAGTTATTTATGGAATACACTAAAAATGAGTTGTGAAGAAGAACTGTTTTTGTTGCGGTTCGGTCCATCTGAAATTATAATATACACTAGTTAAGCTATTATGAAAATTAAGATATATGAAGGACCAACATTAGCTAAACCGATTTTCCGTGAGGTAGCTACCCAAGCAAATGGAAGAAATGGTTCAAACTTCTTGTGTACTTACATTACACCTGCAGAAGTGCAGAGCATAAGACAAGATTCAATTGATTCTTTGGGAACCCTGAAATTTACTGACCTTGGAGTAATTTATGACTTACCTTATATCACATGAGAAACTTTAATACATGAGGATTTCTGTTTTACCTTTATATATGGAAGTTAGTTGATTAAGTTGCAACACTACATTTCCTTCTAGAGCCCTCCTGACAAAATGAGAACAAGATATAAAACTTTCTACTACCTATTATATTTATCCCAGACCTTATATGTTTATTATTTTTTTACCCTTATTGTTCTTCTACTCTATATATCATTAGCTGACTATTACTTAACACTTGTTGGAATATTATAATATCATGTGGACATTTTTAACAGGAGGATAAACAAGCTAACCGGGGTGAAAATCCAGCTCGGTTTCAACGTACAGATCAGTGGCGTCCTGTTTATTCTTGGTTGGAAGCATTGGATTTGGATGAGGTTATTAAGTCCAAAGACATTTCTGACTGGTTGGCTGCAAATCCTGAGGTCAATGAAGAGTTGGGCTCAAGACATTCTCGTTATCATTTGATGCACTACATCAAAAAATGTCATATGAAGATACTGAAGAAACGGAATGTAATTATATCATTTCTTGCTTCCATTTTTATCAGCTCATGCATGTGTAACCTTAAGCTATTTGCTCATGCGTGTGTACTTGCTTTTGAAATTTGTTGGATAGGGTGGGCAGCAGAAGCCTAGTGAATCAGCTCCCTTGAGTGTTGAGCATCCCAATGTGCCAAAACTGCCAGCCACAATTACTTGTATGTTTCTCCTAGTTAGCATATATGTTCTCTTTTAGATTGCTTCAATTATATTGTTTGAGGATGACACTGTCATGATGTCATCCATGATTCATGTCTCTGTTTTTTTTTTTATCAATTACTTGAGAATTAACATGGATTGGGAACTTGTTATTCCATTTCTGATATATGCTCTTGGATTCTCTGTTCCTCCCATACTTTGATCATCATCTCTAATAAACTAATGTTATTATAATTTATTTTCTAATGATTTAAGGTTGCAAGGAACTGATGGATTATTTTTCCTCTGTATGTTTATTTAAACTTTAAGGCATAGAGATCTGTATGCAGTAGATTATAAATGCCAATTTTCCTTTTTCATCTTCCTCAGCCCCTACAAATCGAGCTATCAATGGTTTCGAATTACAATATAATTGAAATACAGTGCTTTCCTATAATCTTTGGATATCGTTAATTTGTTATGGCCATTGAACACTTCTGTGGCCATTTGGATACGATACATCATTATATTATGTTAATATGTTAACTTTTATTGTTTGCTACATTTTTCTTTTTAGCTCGAGTAAATTTTGTTTTCTTCTGAAGTCTGAACACATCTGGTAGCAGCAGCAACCTTCCAGCTATATTTTTATCTAAGATATTGACTGTTGCTGCAAAGTTATGGATAAAACTCAGGGAATTGACTCTTGTGAACCAGTATTGACAAATTAATTGGTCTGTCCATGTGAGCAAGCTCATGTAGAGTTGTTTTATTATACTAAAAATTACATTCCTTAATTAACTGTTCCTCTTGTGCTTTAAGATCTTTAATATCGATCAACTTTACTGCTGATAGTATTAACTATTAAGGTATTCTTGGTTGTAGGTTTTTTTTTTTCTCCCCCCTTTCTTTCATATAATATTTATTTTTATATATACTGTGACAACATTCAATACAAGAAATGAGCAAGATTTTTGAGAAATAGAAATTATTTTCTTCCACATCTTACTGCTAGCTAACGAGCAAGATTAACTTTTGAGACCTTTGCACTTTTTATGCGCTCCACTACATTGCAGCTTCTTTGCTTGAATAAGACTAATTAACAGTCCGAGAATTATTTAAGTCTCTGCTAGATTTCTAAAGATGATCAAATTTCTTTCATTATTGACCTTGTAGGCATTAGGCAAGCAAGATCTTCTTATTTAGTTCCTTAGACTGGTGATTGCTCAATATCCCCTTGTTACTTTTTATTTACTTGAAGAATCCATGGCAATCCTTGCTTCACCTGCTGGCTGCTTAAAGATTTTTTTTTTCTCCATGCTCACTCTTTTAAGTTTTTGCTTCCTGTTGTCTGAATCAAGGAGACTTATAATTATCTTGCCTCTTTCTTTGGTTTTGGAGTCTGCATTAAACATCTACCACTGATAGCTTCTTGCTTTTTCATACTGCAACTCTGCTAAGAGGATTATAGAAAAATTCGAACTCCAAGTTTCTATGTTGGACACAATTTGTTCTGCTCTAACACCCCCGTGATAATAATAAAGTACATCACAGTTCTGAATTGGGCGAAGCTAGGATCATGTACACCGACTCTGGTAAGCTACTTCTTATCTATGCTGATTATTTTCTTCTTGGTATCATTTGACAGCTAATCCATTGACAAACGTGCCTGAAGACAGTGACCTTTATCATGTGAAACGACTGGAAGCTTTGCGCAAATATGAGATGTTAGTACTGTTGCATGTCTTGCTTGATTGTTATCATGCATGTGTCCATCTCCACTAAGTATTATGATGTTCAATGTATACTGCATTTTTTATACTCACCCCTTTTCTCCCTGTATATCGCAACATTTCTGCAGTCTGGTAGAATTTGAGAAGCAACTTTCTTCTATCATTGCAAAGCAGAACACTGCTCAGGAGTCTTGATCAAGCTCTCATTTTGAGCACAAATTTAATGGATAATGTGGAGCGAATCCTTTGAAGTTTGTGCCCATCAGTGTGCTATGTATGCATTCAACAAACGGGACCTTCCTTTTCTCATGATATTTCTGTAAAAACTAGTTTGTGATTCGGGTGATGCGAGATGCAGTAGTATACATGTAAATATTACTCTGTGCAATTGCTTAACTGGTATTTAATCTAGAAAATTACTCATACCATTTATGGAATCAACAACCATTAGTATGTGATTAATTTCTTACAAATTAATTTGTAGTTTATTATTGTACAATAATTACTTAGAAGTTATCTTTTAGAGAAAAATTAAATATGAAAGTTACACATATGAAAAGTTTTAGAATGATGACACATATAAGGTGACACGTAAGGGTGACACATAGCGATGATGTGGCGCCAAATCATATTGATGCAACAGTGATACATGGTGTTACCATGTTGTCCATTTGTGTTTTAATAATATTACAGATTATGGTAACAAAATGTGGCTGTTTATAACCTGTGTATGCTTTAGACAGCTTCACCACATTCTATTTATGAATCTAAATCCATGTATAGATTAGAATTGCCAAATTTGTTTTTCTATCCTTTTCTAATACACGAAGTATGTAGTATCAAAATTTTAATTCTAATGAAAAAAGTTGTGAGAACTTAAGCTGTTTGGTAAGATAGTAAAACTACCTTATTTCAGGAGATCCCAAATTCCTAATTCCTAAAGTTGAGGCTTATCAACATGAGTTTGTGAAGTGGTTTAAAAATGATCGATTAAATTCCTAAAGTGTGATTATCTATAAGTAACTAAGTATGTCTAATGAGACTTCTACATTATGTACATACTTCATCGGTTTCTTTTTAGTTGACACATTTCTTTAGTTACGTTTATTAATGACACAGATTCAACCATTAATATCATCATTATAAATAAGCAAAAATTATAAAAAGTTGATATTTTAAAAATATATGTAATGATGAATCTAACATGATCTCACGTAACTATGATAACAACTGTTGAGTAAATCTTGCACTATAAAACATGTCTCATTTATATTGCCGGAAAGTACAAGATATTGACAAAGTTCTAAGACACTAATCATTGCCCGTAAATTGTTTTTTCTTTTTGGCTCACATGTAGGAATGAATGTTAATGGCTATCCTCTTACCACGTTGGATCACAAAACACTCATAAAGAAATAGATATTTCTTGGTGTACTAAAACAAAAAAAAGTCCTCAAACTCGAGGAAAATTGAAGAGAATGAAAATTGGAATAATAGTCCTAAAAATGGAGAATAATAATTACAAGTTAATCCAAGTTTTCCTGCTGACAATCTTAATCTTAATGAGGAGAAAACACCTAGTAGACGTATATCCCTGGCCGAGGCCGAAATTAATTTACCGGTTCAAGAAAAGGAGAAGCTCAAGCTGAACGTCCTAAAGTATGAAGGAGATGAAGTTCAAAGTATAACCACCAAAGAGGTAGTTTTGCAACTGAGAACCTCTAAATTACTATTGAGATATTCTTGACCATATATACGTTTTATTTATGACATGTGTTGGGTATAATGTTGGTTTTTTTAGTTTGTATAACATTAATATATGACGGTCCAAATGGTATAACACCTTCTTATGTTAGGACATTCTGCTTAAAATTCTATAATTAGTATCTGTTTCTATGTGAACTTTTTCCTTACTAGCAAAATACACTTGGTAAAGCAGTTACACAAGGACAACATAGATGCCAACTAACTTAGTTGATTATAGTCTTGAGGATTGTAGTTATTAGTCAAAACCTGAGATTAAGTCCTGTTTTCATCATGGCCTTTGATGACTATCTGTACACTTTGAACTGTTAGGAACTCTTAGCATTTGCACACATAGGCTTAGAGGCTAGCTGGACTGCAAAGCACGATTAAACGTAGTATCTACTATAAGCATCTAAAATGAGCTGGATTGTGGGAGTAGTGTCCCTTTTCAGTTAAAAGTTCTGTACTTTTGTGTTTAATACTGCGTAGTACAAGTATATATGGAAGGGGTGGAAGCTGACTTTGATGTATACACTCATAAGATCTTGAGAAGGTTTGAGAGTTTCTCGAACACAGTTTAAGAGAATAAATCAGGAATCAGAATATTGTCAGTTAAAAAGAAGATTGAACCATTTTGCATAAAACCACTTAGTATTCCTTCTTAACTGATTTGATTGTTTCACCTCAGCACTACTTCAACTGTTTTTTAATGCAATCAACTTGGAGACTTCTAACTTCCTAATCTGTTTATACTGGAGTTATGTTGTTAAATTAAGCTTTATTACTAAGGCGAATAGGAATAAAAAGGTGTAACAAACTTCAATTGAGTTTTTGTATTAATTTTTACACGAACTGAGCTTTGAGATTAGTTAGACTTGAGTTTAGAACTTGGAGCCATATCAATTATATATTCATGGTTACAACAGACGACTGTCCTACAAATTGTTCTGTTGTATAACATGATCTTATTAAGCAGTTGATCAATCATTTTATTATAACAATACTTAGCTTACGATGTTAATTGTACAACAGACTGTCCAACACTTCTTTTGTGTACTCTCAATATACAATATATTCCCAAATTTAATCTTTCGCTACTTTAGACAGACTTATGGCCAAGCAAGGGCAACGGTGAATATCAACACTGATCATCCATCTCCGGATGATTGGGTTGGAGTTTTCTCCCCTTCAAATTTCAAGTAAGGCAACAAACATCCAACTACAATTGGATAGAAAATCTTATATACTGTTTGAAAACGGAAACACTAATAAGAAGGATAAAGCTGTACTCGCTATGTAATAGTGTCTTTTAGGCCATATCTTCTCTGATTACAAGTTTTTTTTTCCTAAGCCGGTATTTCGATTTTCACAAGACTAGACCTGCTTAACTATATATAATTGGTTTGTGTGTTTGGGTAGTGTATCTGCATCTTGTCAGGAAGTTGGTAACAAAAGAGTTAAGGAGCCATACATATGCACCACGCCCATAAAGGTTAGCATTATGTAATTCTACAAGCCTTACACGAACACGAGGTATATGTACCAATAACTTATTGAGAGGCATAAGAAGTTTAAGTTTAAAATCATAAAAAGTCATTGAACTAAGTTATTGGTAAGTTGGCTTCATACAAAATTATGCCAAATACTTTTTGTTGAACAAGGCAACAAGCTAACAATAGGCTTAATCTTTCAGTATAAGTATGTAAATTACTCCAGTCCTAATTATCTCAATACTGGAAAAGCTACTGTGGATTTTGAATTGATCAATCAACGAGCTGATTTCGCATTTGCAGTGTTTTCTGGAGGATTGTCTAATGTAAGTTTAAAGTATCCTCTTTTCAATTGTTACCACTTTGCCTATCATATTTTTTTGTTTTGGGTTTGACAGATATTTTGCCTATCATACTGATGCATCAATATTTGATTTTTGAAGCCAAAACTAGTGAAGATCACAAAACCTATATCACCTTTTCCAAATCCTAAAGCACCGCTTTACCCACGCCTTGCTATGGGAGAGACTTGGGATGTAGTAAGTGTCAATCAACGTACTGCATTCTTGCACATATAACAGGCAATCAGAATTGTTTCTTTATTGTTGTTGCATACTAGTTATTTTTGGTGGTTAAAGGCAACTCGGGCTATTCATTTCTCCTCAAGTGCCTTTAAATGTTAGATTCTTAGCACTCAACATGAGTATGGACACTTGACACTTTATCTTGGACCTAAATGATGATGGAGTAAATTACATTAGCCAAGTTTGACATGTATACTCGATTTTGAGTAACATAGGGTACTACAACATATTGTGACTTTCATCCCTATTGTTTGTGTGTATCAATTTCTTAGATGGTTCACTCCTGTACTGTAATTGATTTCTTCAATCTCAAAACTCAAATTTTGTCTTATATATCACTCTTTGTGATTTTTACAGATGACAGTAACATGGACAAGTGGTTATAACATAGATGAAGCAGTCCCTTTTGTGGAGTGGGGGTGTCCTGGTGGCGCGACCATGCAATCGCCTGCTGGAACTTTCACATATATTCGCAATCAAATGTGTGGTATGCAATTTCATCTTTAACATCACCTTGATCTTTATCTTCTTGGTTTATATTTTGTCATGCTAATATTGATATATAAGTTAATCATGTTTTATCATTCTACTTTTTCTATTTAGATTTTGTCTGAGTTTTCTTGTCTTGTAACATTTTCATAATTTGTGCATTCATATATACTATTACGGAGTTATTTGGTTGTAAATGTGAAGGTTCACCTGCACGCACTGTTGGATGGCGTGATCCTGGATTTATACACACTAGCTTTCTAAGGGATTTGTGGCCAAACACAGTGTAAGAACTGATGAGTGATATTCACTTCAGCTGAGTTATAATACTAAAACTCGTAAAAGCTAAGGTAAAATACCACTATCAGCTCTCACCTTCACAAATAACTATGTTCATTGATTATTCTTCAGATACACCTATAGGATGGGCCATCTCATAATATCTGATGGTTCATATGTTTGGAGCAAAAAGTATAAGTTCAAATCCCCTCCAGTTCCCGGAGAGAGCTCATTACAACGTGTTGTTATCTTTGGTGACATGGGAAAGGTACAATAGATTAGTTCAATGTAAACATAAAGTATATAGCATAGGGATAACTGTCAGGTATGGTGGATACCTTCCTCCTGCTGTACTTGAGAAGTTATGTTGAAGTTTGATCGAAGATTGAATTAACTGCATATTTCCTGTCTTAGGGAGAACGAGATGGATCAAATGAGTATGCTAACTACCAACCAGGAGCATTGAATACCACAGATCAACTCATCAAAGATATTGACAACATTGATGCTGTTTTCCTTATTGGAGACTTGCCTTACGCCAATGGATATGTCTCACAGTGGGATCAATTCACTGCACAAGTAGAGCCTATTGCATCCGCTGTACCCTTTATGGTTGCAAGGTTTGTGTTCTGTATCAATTGAATCTTTGTATGATTTGTCATGTGAAAAAAAGGTAGTGTACATGAACATACATGAAAGAACGCTAATTTGTTTAGTAACTGACTGTTTTTCAGTGGAAATCATGAACGCGATTCACCAGATTCAGGATCATTTTATGCAAATAATGACTCAGGTGGTGAATGTGGTGTTCCTGCAGAAACAACATTCTATGTTCCTGCTAAAAACAGGGCAAAATTTTGGTATGTCAAAAAATAGAAATGGCTTTGTCACACAAGATATGGCCTTTTCAAGTCATTTGAAAGACTGAAATAAAGTTAGTCTGGCAACAACAATGACACTTCTTATGCACTCATACAGGTACTCAGCAGATTACGGAATGTTCCACTTCTGCATAGCTGACACTGAGCACGATTGGAGGGCCGGCACTGAACAATACAAATTCCTTGAGGAATGCCTAGCATCAGTAAATAGGCATAAACAACCTTGGCTGATCTTTGCTGGTCATCGCCCCCTCGGTTACTCCTCTAATAAATGGTTTGGCCAAGAAGGCTCTTTCGAAGAGCCCATGGGTAGAGATGACCTACAAAGACTATGGCAGAAGTACAGGGTTGATATTGCATTTTGGGGTCATGTCCATAATTATGAGCGAACATGCCCTATATATCAGGTATGTAATTCTTGTTCAATATCACATAACTGCAAACACTTAAGAATACTCCATTTTAAAATTTCGGTAATTTGGTGAGTGCAGAATCAATGTGTGAAGAGCAAAGATCAGACATCTCATTACTCAGGTGTGGTAAATGGTACCATTCACGTTGTTGCTGGTGGAGGCGGCGCTCACTTGAACGAATTTAGTCCAATAAAAACTGTCTGGAGTATTTACAGAGACTACGATTTTGGATTTGTGAAGCTCACTGCATACAACTACTCGCATCTAAAATTCGAGTACAAGAAGAGCAGTGATGGCAAGGTTTATGATTCCTTCACTATATCTAGAGATTACAAAGATGTCCTGTCTTGTGTCCATGATAGTTGTGCACCGTATACATTGGCTAGTTAAGATGAGGAAAAAGTCTTGGACAAAAGTGAGCTAGACAAGAATCCCCTCAGTACATAGTTGGTTGTTCGTATATAAGGATAATCATATTACACTATCAATGTGACGAACAATTTTAGATGGAAGAAATATGATTTCACTTCGACCACTTTGTAATGTGCTTTTGTAGCTGGCCCGTGAGTCAATCTATGTAGATATATTCTTGCATCAATAAACATTTTAGGTAGGAAAAACAAAGCATCACAATTAAACGTCCAGGAATAAAAATCACAAATTAAAGTATATTCTTAATGTACTTGCTTATGCCTCACTTTGGTAAAACTTATGTATTTTACTTTGACAAAGCTATAATAGCCCGTTTGATAGCCAGTAATAAATGGTGCTCATACTTTGTAAGACTTTTCACCAAAGTAGTGACAGCCTAGACATTTGATTTGTAATACTTTGGATTATATTGTGGGCCTAAAAAATTGACATGGTATTTGTAAATAATTGTTAGATTTACTTTATTGATAATCATTAGTCATAAGCATCATGGTTTGTGAATATACATTATTGCAAAAACATCAAACTTTACTTTGATTATTATTACACTGTAGCTTTTGTCAAAGAGATCAAGTAGATGCCCACTTTGGTCGATTGCTAGAAAAGAAAAGCACCCTCGTGTTTCATGCTAAATTGCTACTTTTAGTCTTTTAGATGTATAGGTTAAGTATTGGCGCATAACTGTTATTTACACAGCTATAAGATAAAAGAGTGGGATTTTTTTTTTTTTTTTTTTTTTTTGGTGTTACAAATATTGCACCACTGTTACCTATAATGACTATAAATAGTACTATTAAAACAACTTATACTCTAGTAGTATAAAATATATGTATAATAGTACATTAAAAATACCACTGTAAGTATAATAGTACATTAAAAATACCACTGTAGCATTAAAAAATCACAAAAATTAAGTGAATTTATCAGTTAACCTTCCTATATGCATCCCAAATAAATAGCAGCTATGCGCCTAGTTGCACTCTTTCTTTTATTTAGCAAGCTTTATTATGTACTTGGAAAATTTGGACAATGGAACGAATATCGCTTTCCATATTAAATATCCGATAATCAATAGCGTTGAAAATGATAAAGAGTGATCAACTGATTATGATGAATTGAATTAATAAGTTCAGATGACTGAATATAATAACTCGAATATAATAACTCGAATATAATCTCTCCTTTTCTAAATAATTAAAACGTTTGACTTTTTCACTATTTATATACTCATTTTGACCATTAATATTTTTTTTATTAACGTATAAAAAACGAATATAATAATAAATTATATTGTTAAATAAGTATTTGTATAAAGTTTTATAATATTAAATTTTTTAATATATTTACTAATGTTTAATTATACAAAGTATAAGATCAAAATAGTGCAATAACATGTGTGTCAAGTTTGACCATATCAATTATCGAGAAACGAAGAGGGTATATTATATTGGTTTCATGACTCATGAGTTCATGACCATATCAATAGCATAGTTTTTTTTTTGTTTTTTTTTTTTTTTTAATCTCTAAAAATTGGTAATGAAAAGCATAACTACGAAAACATGATATTTGCTAAAAAAAAAGGTAACTAATAAAATACACAATGATACCACATGTTTTATATTGCTATATGAAATTAAGAAATGTTAAATATTAGGTGCACTTTACTATAAAGATTGAATTTATATATTCTTGGTTAGGTTGTAAAGTAATTTTACACATGAGTGCGCAATTGCGCATAGATCTTGTAAATTATTTGTCCAGGCCATGAGCCAAGAATAGACGAAATCTGGGCGTTACAACTTATAATAGGGTGAATTAGAACTTGCAGCAATGTGTCGATCATATGTGGAAGGAATGTATGTGTAGTACTGTAATAAGTTCTATTTGATCATTCTTAACCAAAATTGTTTAGTTATAAATTGAATAGTAAGTATAAGATTAATGAGCGACTAAGCATATAGCTAACAAAATGAAAGAGGTTGAGGTGTTAGGCCTTGTTTGGTTCACCTTATTTTTACTGATCTGGTCTGATTTGGTCTGATCTGGTCTGATCTAATCTGATCTGATTGTCTGATTTGACCAAACTTTGACCTTAAGTGTACGATAATCTATAAGGAAAAAATATATCAAGTGGGATCTTGTTAGATTCGTAATAATGTATACTTTATTAATATGTAATTTTCACAATTTTTTTCATTACGAAATTAAGAATATTTAGCGATAAAAAACCGCACATAAAACGAAGTTCTGATCTGAACTTATTTTTTCTGATCTAATTTGAACTTATTTTTTTTGAAATAAGTAAAAATAAGTTGAACTAAACAAGGCCTTACAATCACAAATAACATGTATCATACTTTTGCTAAGCTAATTTTATTTTAGGGGTGACAAATAATGTGAAAGTAGTCCTTAAAAGTCTTGATAACACTTTGTTTTTACATAATGTCATCAAATTGATAATTTATGTTTGTATCTTCCCCTCAAACAACTTTATTTTTAAATTGATAATTCATGTTTGTTTCTTCCCCATAAACAACTTTATTTTATTTTACTGTGGGTTAAAACAAAATATCTTTTTTTTTTGTTTGACAACAGCAAAATATCTTTATAGAAGTCAATATATCAACCATAGAAGATCCAGAGATTCTAGGCGGGTGTGTAGAATTTCCGGATCTTCCATGATGGATCCGGAAATTTTAGGCGGATCCATCTAGAAGAATCCTGATTTTTTAGGCGGAAGTCATTTTTTTTTTGTATTTTATTGATTTATTAATCTAATCATTTTTTTTGAAACCAATTAATCAAATTTATTATTATAATCTTTGTATGATAATTATAATTTTTATTGTGATTATTATTATTTTTGTGATAATTTGAGTAATTAGTATTAGTATTATTAGTTAATATTAGTTATTTTTGTGATATTAGTTAATGTTAGTTAATATTAGTTAATGTTGTGATATTAGTTAATGTTAGTGTTAGTGCTGTTAGTTAATATTAGTTAATGTTAGTCTTAGTTGATGTTAGTTAATATTAGTTATTTTTGTGATATTAGTTAATGTTAGTTAATATTAGTTAATGTTGTGATATTAGTTAATGGTAGTGTTAGTTGATGTTAGTTAATATTAGTTAATGTTGTGATATTAGTTAATGTTGGAGAATTTTGTGTGTTTTCTTTTATTTTTATAGGATTTGGAGTTTGAAGACGGCGGTGATGGTGTGAATTATAGTGTGAATTTTGTCACCGACACGTTATTTCCAACATTTGATGGTGCAGTTAAATGGGCGGATGCTGTTTCCATAAATCTGGGATTTATTTTGGTTAAATCGTCTTACAACAAAACCAGAGATGGTCGGCCGTATCGATATTTGAGATGTGATCGAGGACGGAAGAGCAAGCCGAGAGATTTTGAGAACGCAATACGAAAGGACACAAAAACCAAAGCTAATGGTTATCCTTTCTACGTCAAAATACAATAGTAGAAAAACTTAAATGAGCACCGCTAAATGCGCATCAGTTTTTAAAAACCGGTGCAAAAAAAAAATAGGCGGGGGAGGGAAAGATTTTTCGCACCGGTTCTAACCAAACCGGTGCGAAAAATGAGTTAATCGCACTGGTTCGGTTCGAACCGGTGCGAAAGCTTTTGTTAAATAAAAAAAAACCCGGTCTGTATATATGCTCTTTCTTTCTCTTTCATTTCTTGTTTCCTCCTCTCTCATCTGCCTATCTCTCTCCTCCATTAAAGCGTACTTGAAATTCTCCATTGAAGGGGCTTTTGAGCTTTCTCTCAGCACTTTCCTCAAACTCCTTCTCTCTCCTTCGATCTCCTTCTCCATAACTGCCACTTTCCCTTTCCTTTCTTCTCTCTTTCGATCTCCTTCTCCTTCTCTGTCCGAAATTGGTGTCATTAGAACCAAGCACAACCACCATCGCCGCCACCGTCAATTTTTCCTTCTTTCTATTTCCCCTCTTCGTTCTTTCTGTTTCCCCTCTTCCTTCTTATCTCTCTATTCTATCTCCTCTCTCCTCAAACAAACCCTAATCTAATGAAGAAATCGGCCTTGAACGACCTGCTGCCCTCCTTCGAAAATCAGCGTCAATTCGTACCAAGGACGACCATCATCGCCGCCGCCGTCTATTTCTTAAATCTACAATATTGGAGGTTAGGGTTTCTGGGTGCGTCTATTTTGAATCAATTCGATGTGCGTGCGTCTTAACAACAACAAATTTGAATCAATTTCGAACCAAAAATCATAAATTCGAGGTTAGGGTTTCTGGGTTATTTAGCTTTGCGTTATATTTTGGTCTTTTGGTCCAATTATTCATGTTAAATGCTTTGAAATTTTGGGTTTAATTTATGTAACATTGTTCGAAATTTGTTGAAGATGGCTTGAGAAACTGATACCAACAACAATGGAGGTAACAACGCTTTTAATGAAGATAAGAAGCCTGCTCCTGATCAATTTACTCATATCAATCTCAAGGTTAAAGGTCAGGTAATTATTTTTAATTTTTTTTGGTGATTCTTTTGATTTTTCTGTGAATTTTATTTTGCTTTTTTATAATTTTTGTGTCAATTTTGTATTTTCTTAGGTTAAAGGATTTTTGTGTTAATTTTATGTGAAATTGTTGCTGGTTTGGATGATCCGATGAAATTAATTATGCGATTTTGATGTTTTTGAATCATTTTATGACAATGCATGCATATTTAAAAAGAGTGTTAATGTTGTGGAAATTGGGCATTTTTTTGGTTGATTTGGGTGAATTGGGATTTTTGATGGTTTATTGATGCTATGTTACTGTGGGTGAATATGTTACTGTGACGAGTAAGATTATAATCTTCTAGATTATATAAAATTTTTGTACATTATGTATTAAGTTTTCACTGTATCACTTATTTACATTAATTTGAAAAGAGAAGATATGGTATTAAATAAAGTTGATAGTTTTAGTAGTGTGTACATAAATACATGTAGCAAAATTAATACTCTGCAGTAAACTTTTACGACACAAATATGTTAGTTGATTGTTGCTTGATTTTAGTACTTCATCAAGCAATTTATGATTATGATTTGTTTTCAATCCCATTATGCAGTAAATTAATTTAATTATGCGAAATTTCCTCTGAACTTGGTGTATCTATCTGATAATTATGGCTTTTCAATTAATGTTATATTGCATGTCTGGCGTGTAGTTGCTTTGCTACCTATTTGTGGTAAGGTGTATGGATGACACATTCAAGTAGTGAACAAAAAGAATAGAGACTTTTGGAGGGCAATGGGAGAAATAAAAGCTGTAAAGAACAACTGTGTAATTTGATTATACCATTTAAAGCGAGAAGAGCTAACTACATATGAAATACATAGGGCTGCTATTAAAAGTAGAAAATAACATAATCCGATGTAGGAACATGTGTCAAATTTTGTGGAAAAAT